AGTGCAAAGTACGAGAACTTGTATTCCTCGTTATTATTAGTGAATATTGGCTCTTCCAATAAATCTTGGGCGTGGAAAAATATCGCTAAATCTTAGGGCATTTGTAAGGTATGACTCATAAATATATCGGTAAAGGGGCGCGGTACGGTACATGGTTAATTTTGTAATTATGTACCAGGGTTTTCTATTATAAATAGAGATGTAAACTAAATCTATTATCATTGAATAAAAATTTTCTAGCACCACCTAGGCACCGAGGACGTAAGCATATTACCGAACCTCGTTAAAATTCTTGTGTTCTTTCGTTCACTTTGCCCGATTTATCAACAATTGGTATCAGATGTCAGGAGCAAAATTCGAAGTTGCGAAATTCGATGGTTTGGGTAACTTCGGATTATAGCAAACGAGGGTGAAGGATCTGTTGGCGTAGCAGGGGATCCTGAAGGCTTTGCGACCTACAAAGCCGGCGTCGATGGAGGAGGAAGATTGGGAAGAATTGCAACAACGAGCGGCAGGAACCATACGATTATGCTTGGCGGACGAGGTTATGTATCACGTCATGCATCTATCGTCTCCAGACAAAATTTGGAGGAAGTTGGAAAGTCAGTTTATGTCCAAATCCTTAATGACAAAATTGTATCTAAAGCAGCGGCTGTATGGGCTGAAGATGCAGGAAGATCATGATTTGGCGCAATACGTGAATGTCTTCAATCAAATCGTTTCTGATTTGGCTCGGCTTGATGTAAAAATTGAGGATGAAGACAGAGCGATGATTTTGTTGTGTTCGTTGCCTCCCTCTTACGAACACATGGTGACTACTCTTACTTATGGGAAAGAGACTATCAACGTTGAGGAGATTACTACAGCCTTGTTGGCTCACAACCAGCAGAAGCAGAATGCAGGGGAAAACTCTCAAGCTGATAACTTATATGTCAAGGGTAATCGAGACCGTAGACGGAAGCCAGAGAAGGCAGGGTCAGGCAAGCGGAATTCCAGATCCAAATCTAGGGATAAGAAGACAATTCACTGTTACAAGTGAAAGGAGGCGGGACATATGAAGCGAGACTGTCCAAAGTTGAAAAAGCAGACTGATGAGAAGCGTGATGTTTCATCCAAGTCTGTGAACGTGGTCGAGGATGACAATTCTGATTGCAGTGAGGGTGATATGCTTTCTATTTCAACGACTCAATTGACGGATACGTGGATTCTTGATTCTGGATGTTCTTATCACATCACGCCAAATAGGGAATGGTTTTCGACATACAGGTCGGTTAATTCTGGTTCTGTTTATTTGGGTGATGAACGATGTTTCAATATTGTTGGTATTGGTGATGTCAGAATTAAGATGTATGATGGCTCTGTTCGGACGTTGAGTGGTGTTCGATATATCCTAGATTTGAAGAAGAATTTGATTTCTTTGGGCACTTTGCACAAGAATGGTTTTATCCCTAAGGCTGATGAGGATAGGGAAACTATTCGGATTGTTAAAGGTGCTTTGACTGTTATGAAAGGAAAGATGACTGCAGGAAATATTTATAGATTGTTAGGGATTACCGTTGCAGGTAGAGTTCATTCTGCTGAATCCTGTGATGATACTACAAAACTGTGGCATATGCGTCTTGCTCATCTTAGTGAACGTGGTATGAAAGAAATACACAAAAGAAATCTGTTGCATGGTGTCAAAAGTTGTAAGCTCGATTTTTGCAAGTATTGTGTTCTTGGTAAACAGACTAAAGTCCGTTTCAAGACTGCGAAGCACACAACTCAAGGGATTCTTGATTATGTGCATTCTGATGTATGGGGGCCTTCCACGACATCGTCTTTGGGTGGATCTAGGTATTATGTTACTTTTATTGATGATTTTTCATGGAAATTTTGGGTGTATTTTTTGAAACAGAAATCTGAAGTTTTTGAGAAGTTCAAGCTGTGGAGAGGAGAGGTGGAAAACCAAACATGATGAAAAATCAAGTGTTTGTGGTCTGACAATGGTACGGAGTACACAGATTCACAGTTCTTACACTTATGTAAGGAGCACGGGATTAAGAGACATTTTACAGTGCGCAAGACACCACAACAGAATGGTGTTGCAGAACGGATGAACAGGTCGTTGAATGAAAGAGCCAGATGTTTGCGATTGAATGCGGGGCTTCCAAACACTTCTGGGCCGAGGCTGTTAACATGGCGTATTATCTTATCAACAAATCGCCAAGGGCATCATTGGCTGGGAAAGTTACAGAAGAGGTATGGACTGGTCATGATGTTATTTTTGATAACTTACGGATTTTTGGTTGTCATGCTTATGTGCATGTACCTGCTGATGAGAGATCCAAACTTGATGCAAAATCGAAGGAGTGCATTTTTCTGGGTTACAAGAAAGGTGTCAAAGGATTCAAGTTTTGGGATCCAGTTACAAAGAAAATTGTGATCAGTAGAGATGTTGTTTTTGATGAACAATCCATGTTGCAACAGAAGAAAGACACGACAGTGGTGGATTTCGAGCACTTTCCAGTTGAGAAACCAGAAACGTATCAACCGACTTCTGGTGGTTCCACTACGGATGATTTGCAGGATTATAGTCTCGCCATAGACAGGGTGAGACGGACGAATATAAAGCCTCCGAGTAGATTGGGTTTTGAAGACTTGGTCTCTTTTGCACTTATTGTTAGCAGTGATGATCCAGTTACTTTTCATGATGCTGTTACTAGTCAGGAAAACGACAAGTGGATGGCAGCCATGGTTGAGGAGATGGAGTCTTTGAATCACAATCGTACATGGGAGTTGGTTCCCCTTCCTGAGGATAAAAAGCCGATTGGTTGCAAATGGGTGTATAAGAAGAAACCAGCACTAACAGAAAAAGAGGGGGAGAAGTTCAAGGCTCGTTTGGTAGCAAAGGGTTTTTCACAGCAGAAAGGAGTTGATTATGATGAAATCTTTTCTCCTGTGGTCAGACACACTTCAATCCGAGCAGTACTTGCATTGGTGGCCAGTTGGGATTTGCATTTAGAGTAGATGGATGTTAAAATTGCTTTTTTGCATGGTGATTTAGAGGAGCAGATCTACATGCGGCAACCTGAAGGTTTCACTCAACCTGGAAACGAGCATTTAGTTTGCAGATTGAAGAAATCTTTGTACGGGTTGAAACAGTCTCCGAGACAGTGGTATAAACGGTTTGACTCCTATATGATCAAGATTGGCTACAACCGATGTGAGTATGATTGTTGTGTCTATGTTAAGAGCCTTGATGATGGTTCTTTTATTTTTCTATTACTGTATGTTGATGATATGTTGATTGCTACGAAGAACATGGATGATGTTATCGGTTTGAAAACTTTATTGAGTCAGGAATTTGATATGAAAGATTTAGGTGCTGCAAAGAAAATTCTTGAAATGGAAATTTGCAGGGACAGAGACTCAAGGAAACTGTGGCTATCTCAACGGGGTTATGTTAAAAAAATGCTAGAAAGGTTTGCGATGAGTAGCGCAAAACCAGTTAGCACTCCATTGGCGAACCACTTTAAGCTCTCATCAGAACAGTGCCCTAAGACAGATAAGGAAGCTAAAGATATGGCAAAGGTTCCGTATTCTAATGTTGTTGGCTGCTTGATGTATGCAATGGTATGTACTCGTCTTGATTTAGCTCATGTTGTTAGTCAAGTTTGTAAGTACATGTCTAAACCTGGTAAGCAACATTGGGAAGCAGTCAAGTGGATCTTTCGGTACTTAAAGGGTACTGTGGGACATGGAATTGTTTTTGGTAGTCAACGAGATAATCCTTTGGTTGTAGGATATGTGGATTCAGATTATGCAGGTGACTTGGATAATAGAAGATATACGACAGGGTATGTTTTTACTCTTGGTAGAGGACATATTTGTTGGAAGTCTACTGTTCAATCTGTTGTGGCACTATCTACAATTGAAGCTGAGTACATGGCAGCGGCTGAAGCTGCAAAAGAAGCTTTATGGCTCACTGGTTTAGTGAAAGAGTTGGGTGTTCAGCAAGGTGCGACATCAAAGTGCTATTCACTTAGCTAAGAATCAAGTATATCGTGTTAGAACTAAGCACATTGATGTACGTTTTCACAAGATCAGAGAGTTGGTTGCATCTGGAGAGATTTTGTTTCAGAAGGTACACAGTGATGAGAATGCCGCTGATATGTTCACCAAGCTAGTTACAACAGACAAGTTCAAGCATTGCTTGGACTTGTTGAATGTTTCAAGTTGTTAAAGAAGTAAGGTAACCCAACCCACATTGAATGTTTTCTAAGGGGTAGGATATTCGCCAAGGTGGAGATTTGTAAGGTATGGCTCATAAATATACCGGTAAAGAGGATAGGGGATGGAGCGGAGTGAGCGAAGCGAACATCAACTGTCCTTACAAAGAAAGTCTTGTAGAGGGGGTTACGATTATGCGGGTTGGGGGTGCGGGGGCTGCGCCCCCGCGGTACGTTACAGGGTTAATTTTGTAATTATGTACCAGGGTTTTCTATTATAAATAGAGATGTAACCTAAACCTATTATTATTGAATAAAAATTTTCTAGCGCCGCCTAGGCACCGAGGACGTAAGCACATTACCGAACCTCGTTAAAATTCTTGTGTTCTTTCGTTTACTTTGCCCGATTTATCAACAGCATTCCTCTTTATTATCATTGGATTGGCGATAGTACTTTAACGAACGCCTTTCCAAGAATATATGTTTTTCTCATAATTTTTCTCATTTCGTTTATCGGATAAAGCATGTCCTTATGTAGGACTCTACGTACATTTCGCAATTCAATGTTTGATTATGCATACATGAATGACATGAATAAGAGTAGAAATGAGTACATGAATCTCAATAAACATACTAATATACCTAGTCATCCACTATATGAGAAGTTTATGTATTACAACGCAATTAAAACAAATATTTATTACTTGAAACATAATAGAATTACACTGGAACTTTATATACGTGACACAGGTAAATTTTATTAGGAATCACAAATATCGTTACAACCATACATTTTACAACTACAATACTATATCATAAACCAATTATATGCCAACAATAATCATATGATAAAGAGCGACCTTACGGGGGGCATTAACATTTGAGAAACCATCATCTTATTTATCACTAGTTCAATTGATGTTCTCCTTCTTGTTTTCAAGTTCGGTTATGGTCGTAAAAGCCCAAATCCGACTGGAACGATGTTGGTGATGTTCAAGAGTCCTATAAGGGTGTTTCCGACGAGTTGTAAGTTCGAAAACAATCCCCCGACCGATGGGAGCGAGGCATTGCAGTTGGAGAGTGGAGTCTTGACGGCTAAGTTGCAATTGTTGAGCAGTGAAGGGACAAGAAACTGCAATGGATCCAATAAGATGGAAAATATGCCATTTCCATTTGTTGTTGAACTCGACACCACGATTCCACCGCACTGAAGTTGCACCAATGCACCTGAAACAAATACATTAGATGATACTAACTTCAGCTTTTGAATCTTATCATTTGTAATCATTTTCCAGGGAAACAGGTCAAAATTATGACTTTAGACTTTTCATTATGCTCACATTTGGAATTTAGTAGTTATAATTTACTTTATGATTTCATCACTTAGTTCACATAGTTAATATCGTTATCTATCCTGAGTAACAAATAACGTTAGTAATGGAAGTCAAGGAATAAAGTTATTTCAAATCAAAGTAGAGGGATTTATTCTCAGATTTGAACATAGTAGACGGACCAATGGGAAAATACGAGAGTTAATTGCATCATATAATCCTTATTTTAAATTGGTCTTTTCACTTTTGAATATTCCAATTTCATCCCTAACGACGACTTTCATTCTAAATTAGTCTTTAAACTTTTGAATATTCTAATTTCATCCTTTAACTATGTCCCTTTTTCTAAATTTGTCCCAAACTTTTGAATATTCTAATTTCATCCCCAAATTCATCCAACTATGTAATTAGTTTCAACCATAGCTTAATCTAAAATTTGTTATTTTTTCAAGCATATAATAATATAACTTGGTCTAATGATTTTATTAACAATGAGTGTGATATGCGTATAGTTTGGGATGAAATTGGAATATTCAAAAAGTTTAGGGACTAATTTAGAAGGAAGGTCATAGTTTGAGGATGAAATTGAAATATTCAAAAGTTAAAGGACTAATTTAGAATGATAATCATAGTTTAAGGATTAAATTGAAACATTTAAAATGTTAGAGACCAATTTAAAATAAGTGTCATATGTTAAGAGCATATGATGCAATTAATTCAAAATATGACCATAGAAAAGTAGAAAGTTACTAGGGAAAACTGGGGTTGCGGTGCCGTTTGCACCCATGTTGCCATCGAGAGAGCAAAAGAGAGTCCCTTGGATCTTAATCAAGCCAAGGAGGCCGCTAACGAGTCCACCGAGTTGAGCTTCAGCCATTGGAGCTGCCAATGCCATTGCAGCAACCAAGACACAAACAAACATGAGGGTTTTCATTGCCATTGCTTTGGGTTAATTGACTCTCTTAAATCAATGAAGATGATGATTCACTTGCTGTTATTTTGTTGGAAACCCTAGTGGTATTTATAGGAAACTTAGAGGCCAAGTTGGTGCAAACAATTTTCACACAAGTTGAGGGCTTCACTATCAGCGCCACGCACGCCACCACTGTAGGCTTCACCTAAGTTGGGGCCAAAGCTTGCCCCCTACACTCCGGCCTTTGTTTAGGGTTTAGGTTATACATTCTGGAAAAAGTTTAGTTTTGGAAAACTGAATTTACAAAACTGAATTTACAAAGCAACGTGAAAGTGTCTTGAGAATTTTATTTTGTTTTTTTAATAGCATATAATATAATATATTTTTAAATTCTTTATTAATTATTGACAATACACACATACCCATCAAAATGCATAAATCCAAATACATCTTCATATTCTAATAATAGTATTAACTAAGTTAAAATATAATATAATATAATATAATATAATATAATATATAATATAATATAATATAATATAATATAATATAATATAATATAATATAAATTTGGGGCAAGTATATTTGGCCGGTTGGTCAAGTTAGTCATCTTTATTCTCTCTTAAGTCATGAATTCTAAATCCACTAGAAGTACACCTCTTTCTTCCCTTAGAGTCTCTCCTTCCCTCCCTCGTGATAGGATTATTCTTCGTTTGTCGCAAAATCAGAGATAGGACTATTCTTCGTTTGACTCAAAATCAGTGTGGGGGATCTCTACTCTCTATATATAAGTTGAAGCTGCAGTACCTACTGGATTCACAAAAGTTTATAGCTTGGTCCCTTTATATCATTCTTTCTTTGATTTGGAATGAGTTCATCTTTTCTTACCACAAGCGTTTTCCTTGTGGGTTAGGGCAGAATATTGAGATGGGAACAAGCTTGGAATGAGTTGCTTAATTTGGTTTCAATTTTCAACCATTAGACTAAAGACCATCCAACACCGTTTCCTTGCCTCCAGTCCAGTGGTCCATTACAGCACTCATCATCAATTTGGATTCATTAGGCAAAATTCTACTGTTTCTCCCTATTCTCGATGGTGGTGAGTGGCTTATCCATGCTAAGTGGGTTATAATTCTTTTTAATTTAACCACCTATCTATTGATCGATTATTTTAAATTAAATTTTGCAAAGATTCATTATCAAACGACTCTTCGTCTTAGACGGTCAACCCCTTACTTGCAACGCTACTAATAGATTTCTAGTAGTGAGAAATCAATAAGCATATCAACGTTAGTTGATTCAGTCGGTTAGTGTAATTTCATAATTAGACAAGGTTCAACCAGAGCTATTAATTGAATGGACTAAGATTGTTGTACCAACTCGTAATAGGTTAAAACCCAAGAATCACGCTGCCCATGAGGTCTAAAGAAATTAATTAGTGATAATTAGCAGTCACCAAAGTTATATAATTTCAGCAGTCTATTGAAGCACCAACTTGCATTTGAGCGTGTCTGTAGATGCCAAAAATTAGTTCCCTTCGTAACATATTCTTTAAGCCATGCAACCCAAAGAGAACCTTCGCCCAAGAGAATTTTTCTAATGAGTTGGATGAGACAAGCTTTGTTCCATGATTTTATATTCTTCAATCCAAGACCTCCTTCTGATTTTGAAAGACATATTTTATCCCAGCTTATCCTTGCTCCCGAAGCGGCTTTATCGTCACCTTTCCAGAAGAAACGGGAACAAAGCTGATCAATTTTGTTTAATATGGATTGGGGTAGTACAAGTTGTCTTCACTAGTAATTCGTAACACTAAAAACAGAACTGGTCGGATGAGTTCCAGTCTGCCAGCATAGCTTAATTTCTTTCCTGCCCAATGATGAAGTCTAGCTTTGATTTTCTCAATAAGAATAACAGTCTTTTTCGGTTAGCTTTCGAGTAACAAGTGGAACTCCCAAGTATCTCACAGGCAAGGTACCTAGGTTGAATCCAGAAATCTGCTTGATAGTATCTAAAGTTCGAGTAGAAATTCCAGCAGCAAAAAATTTCGTTTTAGAAGCATTAAGCTTTAGCCCAGACATTTCATGAAATGTATCAAGGACACTAATGATACCAACAATAGATTCAACATTTCCTTTGCAAAAAATCAACAAATCATCAGCAAAGGATAAGTGAGTAAGACCGATCTTCTTGCATTTAGGATGGAAGCCAAAAATACCTTGTGTTGCTGCCAAATTAAGCAATCTGGAAAGCACGTTCATAGAGAGAACAAATAATAAGGGTGAAAGAGGGTCACCCTATCTTATTCCTCTAGCTCCCTTGAAATAACCAATTAAGCTCCCGTTGAACGAAATGGAGAAACTAGCTTGGATAAAGCAAGCTTCAATCCATGCAATAAACATCCTCGGAAGATCGAGAGCTCGGAGAATGTTAGAAATGACCCCCCAATGAAGCGAATCAAAGGTTTTATGGATATCAATTTTCAATGAGCATCTTGGGGAAATGGTTTTCCTTCCATAGCCTTTAACTATTTCTTGGGCGAGAAGTGTATTTTCAACTATGCTTCTTCCTTTGATAAACGATGTCTGGTTCAAAGTTATCATGTCTGGAAGATGGTTTGTCAGTCTCTTAACCAGAATCTTGGTGATAGCTTTGTAAATCACTGAGCAACAAGAGATGGGGCGAAAGTCCTTAATAGATTTAGGGTTAGGAACTTCAGGAACTAAAGCTAAGATTGTAGAATTAAAAACAGGCAGAAGTTGAGAATGCAAAAAGAAATACTGGACAGCAGCCACTACTTCATCACCAAGTAAAGGCCATGCTTTCTTGAAGAAAATAGGGAAAAGGTTTCTTGGCAGAAACTAGCCTGGTTTCCACAACACATTCTGAAACACAGCTTGATAGCGTGGATGGCTCACTTGGATAGACTTCCAACAAGAGTAAGACTTTAACGAATGGGCATCACCACTGAAGGAAATTGTGTTATATGCAACAATGCTTTAGAAACAAGGGACCATTTGTTCTTCCAGTGTTCGACTTATGCTTTCTTATGGGACGCGATATTGAACCTGAATGGGTTGAGTAATTCTGTAGCATCATGGGGTGACATGGAAACGTGGGCTTGCGAGGTATGGAAAGGAAAATCTCTTCTCGCCACAATATTGAAGCTAGCAAGGTGTGCTCTTATCTACACTTTTTGGGAGGAAAGGAATCGAAGAATGTTCCAAGGTCGTACTCGATCACCAGAAGATCTTCTTAAAGTCATAAAGGAAGTCGTAGGAATACAATTAAGAGGAAAAAATATTAATAGAATTGAAAGTGTTAACTTCACCCTATGTAATTCTTGGGGTATTATCTAACCGATCATTTCTTTTTGTATAGATGTATATAGGCTTTTGTTGGTGATTGGTTTGTTGAACTCTGATTCATTGGGTAATAATATTTGAATTATCCAAAAAAAAAAGTTATATAATTTTCAAGTTGAAAGTTAAAAGCAAGAGATAATTAGCAGTCACCAATATAGCGTGCAGGCTTAGCAGAGTTTGAAAGTTTCAACCAAAAACATTTAGGGTAAAGTATAAAATGGACCCTATTTATAGAGCATTACTTTGTTGAGTCCCTCGATTATTAAAAGTTACAAAATCATCCCGATTACAGGGCGTTGCTTTGTTGAGTCCCCGAGTATTAAAATTTACGAAATGATCCTCCTACTATTCATATGTTCCAAGCTCATCGTTTTTCGTTAAAAAATTAACGATCGTATGAGTTGAATGTTAACATGCTAACTGAGATATAATAAAATCTTGTTTCTGAATCGTTTGAGTTCACAGTTGTTTGAGATTCTAGGATCATATTTTATAACATCTCAGTCAGCATATTAACGTTAAGCTTAGACATCATCATTTTTTAATGTAAAATTAAACGTTTGGAACATATGAATAATCAGGTGGACGATTTTGTAAATTTTAATAGTCGGAATACTCAATAAAATAATGTCTTATAGTTAAAGGACCATTTTGTAACTTTTAATAATCGAGATACTTAACAAAGTAACACTCTATAATCGGGGGACATTACTATACCTTACCCAAACATTTATAACAGATACCCTGCCAAGCGTGCACACTATCCCTTCCATTGTTTGCCAAGAAATGACAAAAAAAAATAACCAATCCCCAAACACCCATGGGCAGCTCAAGTAAGTTAAGGTTAGGTTCTTCCCCCATCCCTATAGTTTCCTCCATTCAACTAATATTTTCCTTAAAAAAACCTAATATTCTATCAAAATATCCCTGCTTTCTTGTTTAAAAAACTTATTTTATTTATGTTTCCTTGAACTTTTATTATAATTCATCTTCTTATAGGTCCATTGATAATTGATTTTGGAATGAATTAATTCTCATGAAATTTTCAAGCTAACTTTAAATTCAAACCATTTGCGTAAGATGAGCTAAAAATAAAACTAATTGCACAAATTAAGCAACCTCAGTAATCAAAAGATTTGTTGTTCTCTCTCGAGGTTTCAGATTCGAACACCGTATATATAGATATATGAACGTTTATTGTCAAATGGTATTGAACCAAACTATGTTTCTCTCTACATTACAAAAAATAGTAACCAAGGTATTGCTTGACTCCCACGTTTCAACTAAAATAATCATATTTCCCTGCCTTGTTATATGTGTATATCTCCTAAACCGGTGCTCAGAGAGGGCAAGGTGGAACCTCAAGGGCTGTTCCAGCTTGAATTTGACCCCATCGTATCAGACGCCAATGCTTCTCGACACGCCTGCTCAGAGCAATCTTCTCTCCCTTGCTGGTGCAAACAGAATCATTCTTTACAGGTACGACTCGTGCCCCAATTGACATCGACCCAATGTTCCAACACCAATTAAACCTCCTGGAACAACGAATTGTTGCGCATTTTGTTCTGCATACCGTAAATAAGCACCCAACATTCACTATTCATCTCCAATAAAGACTAAAACCTCGTACCCTTGCTTATTGGCATCAAATGATCGGATGACAATTGTGTTAGTGGCTGAGCAAGCATGAATCAGCAAAGTTAAAACATAATCACCTCATTTCCATAGGGTACCACTTAGGACCTTACCGGGCAATCTACGAAGGACACATGCCTCAGCAACTTCATCCTGGAATTTTCAAAGCCAGACACATCGCAAAGAGGACCATCTTCCTTTCCACTTCCATAAGCCCTACAACAACAAAATGTCGATCACAGCTGCAGCTGTTATTAATACTCAGGAAATTCATTAGAAAAAAAAAGTTACTAGATATCAACCAACTTGTAGCACTGAGGACGAGGACATCGTTCATCTTCACATCTATATATCTTTGCATTTGCATATCCAAGCTTGATAGTAATATTACGCGCCAACTCATTCTTAGAACGAACAGTGCACAGAGGTGCATAAAGTGCACAATGCATAACATGTTACATTTATTAGATTCCAAAATTCAACAGCAGCACTAGCACTACCCAGTACCCACCATACAAAAGGCACAAAATTACAAAACAGACTCTCCGAAGGTGACTTAACAATATCATATCTTATTTGGGTACATTAAAAATAAGCCAGGTCACATGCACGCCAGATATTGCTTTCACAAACCTGATGGATTGATGGAAAGAGTTAGCTTAAGTAAAAGCTGAGTTTGCAGAAAGAAAACGCAGAGAAAGAGAAACGCAGCCACTAGGGATGCCGATATTTATTCCAAGGTTCATATAGGTGTGTGTGTAATTCAAGTTTATATTGAATGGAGGTCACTTTTTTGTATATGTTGTTCATTTCTTTTCCCCTTAAGCCAATTGCATAAATAATTAACACCAGAATTATTACTTAGCACAAAATGCATCCCAGACTTTTTCATATTCATTACAAAATTTAAACTTTTCCTTTACAACCTTCATCACATTAATCATATTAATGCTTCCATTAACTAATAATATTTTTACAATTTATTAACAATTAATTTGTCTAATAAGATGAGTCATTACATCTTTTAAACAATAAATCAAATAATATGATTAAACTAAAAAAATTTCTTACAATTCACCTAATTTCACCTATTACAAATTCAACTTAAATAAGAAACGGATCTCTCTCTCTTAATTGAGTTATTTAATTATAAGTTTTAAAAATTAGATATTGTACTTATAATTTTATTAATATTTTTAAAAATTAAGACCAAAATACATTTGAGAATTTTATACTTTGAAAAAAAAAATCAATGTGGTCCTCAAATTATTTTTCACTCAATGTGGCCTCCCAACTCAAAAAAATGATTTTTTTTAAAAATACTAAAATATCATCTATATAAATTACACAAAAAAATTTATACTTATTAAAAATTGAATCCATCCATCTTTGAAATACTTGTGGTGCATTATATAATCCAAAAGGCATTACCTTCCATTGATGATGTCAATTGGGTGAACTAAAGGTTGTCAATGGTTTTGACTCGTCATTTAGCATTATTTGCCAAAATCTTAACTTACAATCAAATTTACTAAAATATCTAACTTGTTTAGTTTGATTAGTTAACACATCTTTTCTTGGAATAAAATAGTCGTCAAATATAAAATTTTGATTTTATCTTATATAATTAATGATCATTCTAGTTTTTTCTCTTTTAATCTCAGCATGGTTTCTTACCATAAATGATGGAATAGAATGTGGACTATTAGTTTCTTCTATTAATCCTTTTTCTAATAATTCTTTCATTTGAATATCAAATTCATCTATATCTTGTTTAGTATAGATCATTGGTTTTACTCGTATAATTTTATTGAGATTTTCCAATTTTATATTACAATATCTAGGACTATTTTTCTATAATTTTAGTGGTTCTTCACTAAAATTGTTTTATAATATTTTAAACATCCAATGATTTGTTTCTAGTTGCTTAATATTTTCTTTTCTGTGTGGATTAAAATTTTTCTCACACATAAATTTATGATTTTCTATTAATAGTATTTTTACAGAAGTTTTTTCTGCATATAAAATTACCATATTTTTATCAAAAGAAAATGATAAGTGTTGATATATAAAATTATTTCCTAATAATATGTCTCAATGCATTTCTGGAAAGCATAATATTTTAGGAATTACAAATCTTACATTGTTTATGTAGATTGGAATATTCCTAGCTTTATATTGAATAATGGTTTCATTACCATCTATTCTTACATCTCTAATTGAATTTTTCATTTGTTTCCATTTTTCAACAGGAATTGTATTTTTCCGGTAACTACTGGTTGTAGCTCCTGTGTCTAATAAGACATGTAAAGAATATGTATTATATTCTCTAAACTGAAATGTTATTTCAATAAATGTATAATATTTTTTAGATTGAAATATTAAAAAAGTAATTATTTCTTTTCCAAGTTTCTTTTGTTGTATTATAGCTGATGTATTTATTTCTTCCATTCTAGTATTTCTAAAACTTATATTTGGTTCGGTTGGGAAGATATGAATATGAACTGTTTTCATACTTATCGGTGTATTATTATTTTCTTCTTCTTCGTCATCATTTATTTGACTAGAATATGGTAAAACCATGTTTTGGTTATTTATCACTGTTGTATTTTTAAAATATAATTTATCTCATGAAGCAAGCTTAGTCTCTGTCAGTTACTGCAGATATAGAAGACGTCCATGATCGACAAGCGGAAGTAAAATTCGTTGATACAGGTCGGAGGGTTGTAGAAAAAGATGTTTATACTGTTGACTTCGACATACATTTCCGTCAAGTTACCCTTTCAATGGGAGGGAGGAAAGTGGAATAGCTTCTGGCCCAACAGACAGGGATGGAGTAGAAGTGAATAATTCTTATGGTGGTTCTACAAGCCAAAGAGTTTACTCATCAAATTCTCAAAACTTGGCTGGTACGGAAGAGAAAGTGCAGAAGGTGTCACCGCCTCGTCGAAAAGTGATTAGAGAAGAAAAATCAGAGATGGGGAACTGGACCGAGAAAGATGGAGGAGGATCTGATTTGTTAATTCAAAACACAAGGCAGGTGAATTCTGACAATCAAAACAACACAAATAATGTTGGAAATCGACAATATGATCCCGAGCCTCCCACTGATGTAAATATGAATGCAATTCTTGAGGTAGGTAATCAGTAAGGTTCATTTTGTTTGATTGCATTAAGGGCTCAAAGGAGTTTCTTCATTCTTTTTGTTTGTTGCGGGAAGAAGAGGCTCTAATTGCGCCACGCCGAAAAGAAATTGAGGACACAATGGAGATTGTCCGTGAAGTAAGTGAACTTGCACTTATTCTTTCTTCAAATATTCATTGACCAACTGTTTTAAAACTACATCATAGGAAATGAAGATCTTGGCAGAGGGGGAGCGACCGGGCAGCCTGATAGACAATTGCGTGAGCCAGTTTAGTTGTGCTTTCACACAAAGCTGCAGGCCTGGTGAGCCTTCAAGCTCGGCTTGCCAGGTTCCAGCATCGACTAAAAGAGCAGGAGGTACTGAGTCGGAAGAGAGTTCCTCGTTAAGGCAGCAGTTTTCATTCCGAAATTGTTTCGCCCTGTTATGCACTTTAAATACAGCTATAAACTGACAGTCGATGTCTGAGAGGAAAGTTGAGCATTGCAGAAAACTGGGTCGTTCATGCTGCTCTTTACATGCATGTTTACAATGGCAACCAATGCCATCCTAATAATGATGTTGGGACCGACATGCCGTCTGTTCAATGCTGACGGAATGTCTCGGTAGTCATTTCTAGGAAGGGAGAAAACTGAAAATAGTGTTTTTTTTTAAAATAAGCGGTTTATTTGTCCCATGGAAATAATATTTTCTTTTACACTGGCGTATTTGTCCTATTGAAAGTATATCTTTGCTTTCTTCATGCAATTAAAAGTGTTCAATCAGTTAACCAGTTTTTTTTTTTTTTTGCAATCAAAGACGAGGCTTCTCTGGAATCAGATTCTACAATAATTTCCGAAAATCCATCATATTATTATTCAGGCCCTCAAAAACACCCAACAGTTCAGCATCCACCATCCCATAACCCGAGCTCCTCTTCTTTGTGATTTCGAATGACGCCACCACATGTTGATGGACCTGTTGTCGGTTTGCGCCCACCATCCGTGCTAAGTTTCACCCAACCGGTTGACTGGTTGTGCACTCACTCTCAAACCAGCATGTAATGTAACGTAACTGGAATCATTCCAACTAATCTCCGATGGAGGATAATCTTATCAGCACTAAACTCTTACCAAAACCAATTTGGCTCCTTCCAACTAAATTAATCAAACTTCCTTTTTCTTTAACCATTAATCAAACCATTTTTTTAAAATTATTAACTGAACAATATTTGATTAATTCTATCAGTTTTCAGATTAACCAAAATCTTTTGTATTCTAACCACCCGATCAATTAACCAAGTTAAATTTCGGTTCAATAAGTTAATTTGGTTACAGCCGAACGATGAACACCACCGCATGTAATGTTCTAGTTTTAAGTACATGAATATACTTGAAATATTTCGATCTTTGTAATCGATTCATACAGCTATTCTGCAATTTACAAGTCATGAAGCTTATTAATGACAAAATCATGCAACTGAAATTTTGACTCAAAAGTCTAAATTTTGAGAAACTGAAATTTATCCATAACAGGGACAGACATAACTCTAACAGACAAAAAGGGGGGCTGATTGAGAAAATATTAAAATCCACAGCAAAACAAGGCAGTAATGATATACAAAAAACAAATGATGTTAGAAGAAAGAAGAGACGTTCTTACGGATAATACTTTGGAAAATATATAAACAAAAAACACCTATTACTTCCGGTCACAGACAGCCCTTTTTGGGAAAGTTATGCAGCTCTACAATCTCATGGCTTTAATCTGTATTTATCTGTTTTTCGCCTTTTGTACGAGAACATCCATGCCTTGTCTAGTAATTATATTGAAAAAACAGATCAGAACCAAACTTTTTGTACGCCTTTCAAGTTCCTAGTAAATGCCTTCCAAAGTAGTTTAGAAAAGCAAGCATAACGTTGTACAGTGTACTTACGTTCACACTTTCGATCAATCAGCTCTCAAGTTTAGAATTTCTTTGGCAGTCCTCGTACGAAAATATGGCATGTGTTCCTACACAAGCAAGGAAAACCACAACTCGGCTCAAAAGCAAATAACAAGACATTGTCTTTCAAAAGAATATATGTATATGTAAGAACATCAATATCTACCGCCCTTTTTCGTATATTGTGGCAGGTAAACAATAGAATACATCCAAATAATTATTGCACCAAATACTAGAGTTTACCGATATAAAACGTGGATTTCAAGGATAGTAAATCATTTTCCATGGCCATACCTGGTCAAAACAAAGACTTAAACCTCTGCTATAAAAGTCGATATATTTCAACATAAACATGCCACAATCAAACCTGTGCATAAAGAAAGTTAGTTAGGGGAACCAATTCAAATTCTGACAGAAAAAGGCGTCTGACACCACAAAACTAGCAGTAAAAAAGTAATAAATACAGTTCGCCAAATATTTAGAACCAATTGCCATCCATGGTGTTAGTAAAAGCTACCGTATAATCAAAAACTTGAGAGTATAAGGTATTTGTTTATCCAATAAGTTTATGAAGAATAAGTATCCCAAGCACTAATACGAAAGTAATAGATATTCGAATACACACCCATTCTCCTGTGCAGGAAGGTCTTCAACATATTCTAGTTCCCAAGAACTTATATCAATGTTCTTCCCACTTTTGTCCTTCACTTCTTCAACAAAGTATTTTGCCTGGCACATTATAAACTAGATATTAAACAAGTTCGAAAGAAGTGCTGGAAGAACTTTGTTTAAGATGACTTTTTTATAGGAGGTAAGATTTACAGCATAAAGAAGAGGGAAAATGAGTCTAGCAGCTAACAGGAATGTATACTCCGAATCCTCCAAACACTTAAACTATATAATGCACTTTGGATCAATTACTTGAATGCATCCGAATAATATGACATCTAAAGAGAAAACCTGCAAGATCATACCAGTGCTCTCAGCACGTACGGATCTTTTCCTCTTAGGGAATCCAGATATTGGAATTTCTGATCTTTCTTATTGATAACTGCCAAGCACCAATGTATGTCTTTGTGTATGGGGACAAACATCTAAGCAAAATGAATACCTAAGGATAAATACAATGAATCATGAAAAAGAAGATTGAGTGTGAAAATATCAATACTTACTTTGTCACAGTCCAACAAGCAGTACCCTAACTTCCTTTGTGAAGTCCATCTTTTGACAGCTTTATAGTTATATCCACTCTCCGGATTCACTAACTAAGCATCATAAATCAGAAGGACAAAAGTAGTTAAGAAAATGGTAGTTACAAGGACTTACATTGAAAAGTAATGTATGGGAACACTGAACAAACTTAAAACCAAGAAAATACCTTTTTATAGAAGAAGGTGTTGAAGAAATGGCATTTTAGAAACTTCTCCGGCTCTCTCATTTCCCGTTCTTTCAGTAATTCAAGATATAGATTAATGACCTATAAAAGTGAAACACAAGTGTTAAAACCAGGTGTCCGTTGCACTTAATTCCACCATGAGGTCCATGACCTAATTGAATGTGGACAAATTAAGAAATCCTTCCAGAGGCTACAGTATGCAGATATACAACACAAGATATAAACATGAACAAAACAAAAACAACCTCATCATTCAACCATGCGCTTGGTTTCAGACATTGCAAAACTTCTCCTCTAATAACAATGTTTGAGAGTTGGTGAGAGACTAATATCTTTCTCCTACAAAAGCAAGCATAAACAATGATGTTAAGGTACAATAAACATCCTATCAAATAATCAACTGCTAACACAAGCATCACTACATACCAGTTTTTTGCAGAAAGAGCATTAGACACCAAAGTTGTCTCCTCCTCAGTAAGAGGAATAAAAGGCTCGGAAGGTACCAACTGGAATTCGATAAATGATTGAGCAATAACAACAACCCATTAATGCCAAACATTCTTTAAAAGAATGACATAATATCATATTCTAGAAGCAACACGATTGTTCAAAATACACTACCAAGACAATGCAGCGCAATTAAAACAATGCAAGCAGAAGAATCCCACCTCTACTAGCTCCTCCTCTGGTTTCTTTACGGGTCGCAATGCCTGAAGTCCAGCTTTACGCTTCTCGTTCAACTCAATTTGAAAATCCAATAATTTCAACTTGGAGTTTCTCCTCTCTGCAATCTCCAATAACTTCTTATAAGCTTCTAAATCCTGGACATTGGAAATCTCCCGTAATGAAGACATATCCAACGGACTCTCCACTCTCAAATTCCCATTATTCAACTCAGTAACAGCCGATGAAGACGAAGGCTGAAAATGCTCAACTTCTTCCACGTTATACTTCCCTTTCTCAATACCCTCCACTTCTTCAACAATAAGATCATCTGCAACCGCCCCCTTTTCTTCCTTCTTATTATCCTCCACAAAAACCACTTCTTTTTCCTTCTTAAAATGGCTCGAAGTATCCCAAGCTTGCCTTTTCACATTACAGAATCTACTACTAAAGAAATTCCCCAAATCGCATTTAGTCAAATCCAGTTTGTGTTGTGAAGCGGGTGCCCCAAATTTTAGATGTCTGACAGGGGCGTGGACTGCTGCTCTAGGGAAAGGTGCCTCAGGTTCTGGGTAACGAGAGATTCTCGAGACAGTGTTGTTGGAAGGGAAATTTTCTTCTTCCAGGCTTTGATTTATCAAAGACAATCTAGGTTTTTTGAAAAACTGGTAACCCAGGGAATTTGAATACGGGGGTTTCTTTTTGTGGTTGAAATTGGAATTGAAGCATTCATCTCCACCGCGTTTACGATTGGTTGCTAAAGCACCCATTGACGAAATTCACAAAATTTAAACCCTAAAATCAGAATACCCGTTTAGCAAAACCATGAAACTATATTTGAGAGATGTTGTAACTCAGGACAAGTGCTATTAAAGTGAAAACATTGAAACCCAGAATTTAAAAGCCGAAATACTTCAAAACACAATAAATGATCAGATTTTTCTTCTTAAAACTAAAACAAGCCGATATATTTTCAGAAAATAAAGGGGAGAATGCGGAAGAAAATATATGGAAATTTTGAGGAATTTGCAAAGGCAATAACCGTTACTGGTGGCGGCGCTGTAATTCGGATCCAGATACCAGAAAAAAAATTACAGATTTGAATTTGAAGAAGGATTTTTTGAAATTTCGCAATTGCTTTCGCGGGACAAAAAAAGGAATCAACTTTAGAACGCCGCTTTTCGAGGTTCATGTTTTGGAAACCTATGCCTTAGCAGATATATAAAAAAAATTAAAAAGCGTAAATTACATATTTAGTCACTCACATATTTTTAAATTTTATTTTAATCATTAATTGTTTTCAAAATCATTTCCAACGTTATGTTTCGGTCAACTGCCGTTAAGAAATTAATAGTAATGATGATTATCACCATAAGGTAATGTCATGTAATCATTAAAAAAAACCATCACACCAGTAGTTTTATTTATTTTTTAATGATATGTGACTAAAACGAAACAAAATATAACATTAAATATGATTTAAAAAAAATAGTGTAGAGATACTCTTTCCTACTTTATTAGCGTAAGGCCGCCCACTTGGACTTCTCTTGGATTTGATGAATTGCCTATTATCTGAACAAGAGAGTTGAGATGCCATTCTTCCGCAGTAAAAAAATATTAATCACCAATAAATAGCATTAAGCTGCCTCACACCATATCTTTTATCGACCTACTCGGGATTATTATCCTCTCTTCGAGCATAAGCATTGAGATGTCTTTGCCAATGCAAAGATTATCCCGTTTATTAACGACCTCTTCTAAAAATAGAAATGAACTGCTTCCGTCTTGAAAACAAGAGCATGGAAATAACTCTGTTATTGGATAAAATCAATAGAGAGACGATATATTTTCTACAAGTCTTGAATCATATCACTTTATACACTTCCTCGATCAAGGGGACAAATGTTACACTTTCATGGACATTCTCCATAAACATCCTCTGAAAATATCATCTTTACTCAAGATCCATCTAAATCCCTCTACTCCCTAGATGACAATAACCCCACGATGAGACCTCTAACAATCTCACATAATTTACTAGAAATAAGCATGCAACACTTGTATCTATCTTGTGTAAATCATCCTATAGATAGTTATCGTCATCATAGGTCTAACACCGATTGTCTTATAATCGAGATATTTACATTCAAGACCAAAGCATCATATATATTTTTTAATAATTTAGGATGAATGTAAAATAATATTTATTCAAAGCTTTCTTAATTGATCGAAAACATACATACCCTATAAACTCAACTGCTCGAATCCAAAATATTTAGGAAGAATAACATTTCCTTTTATAATTTAATAAAGTCACTTGATGGGTTCACATACTTGCAATTCAAACATTGTTTGATATTACTTTTGAAAAATGATTTAAAATGTGGTATAAAAAACACTTTAAAAAGTATGTTTGAAAAATACAATTTAAAATTTAACTATTTGAGATTACTACTAAAATTATTTTAAAAAGATAAAATATATATTTTAGACATTATATTGTAAATTAAAAAATATAATATTTAAATTATATTTATACTTATTAATATTATAATACTTAAAATATATCAACTTAAATTGTCATAAAAAATATTTTTTGATAACACATTGATAATACTTTATATATATGAAATATTTTTATTAAGAAAAACATGCTATCAATATTTTTTAACATAGCTTAAAATTATTACAAAATAATAATTTAAATATTTATTTTAAAAAAAATAACATGAACTTAAAGTAAAAAAGATCTCTAAATTAGATCTCTCTATATCAAACAATCAATTTCAAAATTAATAAAAATAAATAAATAATTATACATGTATGTTTATTAATTTAAAAATTAATTAAAATTAAATAATTGAAAATAAAAATATAATTTCATCTCAAAAATGATTTTTCACAATAAAAATCTAAAATTTAAAATTTTGAGATTAGACTAAAAATCAAATTTTCATTGCCATAAGCATTCCCAAGATAAAAACGAAAAAATATTATTTTTCAATTAAATCTTTAAACTATAATTAAGTAAAAGAAAATACATTTAATTTATTCAGGTGTACAAAAAAAAAATCCTTGGACCATCATATCTCATTGATGTAATCGGCGCCAAAAGATGGAGAAAATCGTAATTCCAGTTCCACAAATCTTATAGCATCGTGGCGCTTCACTGACTCTGTCACTCTCCCCAAAACAGTTTACCCGTTGCCTTTCTTCCAACAAGCGATCTCTCGGCCATTAAAATTTCTGAGAATGGTATATTTCATTTTCCACAATTGAATTACTTTCTCTATTTTTTACTCAAAATTAATCTAATCCTTGTTTTCATTAATTTTCTATTCATCCAACGTACACTATTAGATTAGGGTTTTGAGTTTCCCGTCATTGAATCTGATCTGTTCTATTGTAATCTATTTCTCAAAACAAGAAATGTGAAATGGAGGAGTGTTAAGTGTTTATGATCAATGAATGCTGCCGAATTCTTGGGATAGTGAATCCGGGTATTAGATTCAAATGCTAAAACTATGTGGAAACTGACCAGTTCATAACATAATGTCTCGTTCTTCGGCTTGTTATTGATTTTAAAGATCGAAAAAATTGTTAAATATAGTCCTGGTTTTAATTATTTTTGTGTTGCTGCGGCATTCAATTTTAAGTTTAACTAGTGTGATTACTTTTGGGGTCTAATCAAGTTGATGATTCTATGTTACTCCCCAAATGCATGAAGAAACTTGAAAAAAGATTGAACATAACCATATTTGTCTTCACTCTTTAGACTCGAGTCCAAGTAACATAGGTTGACATCCCATCATCAAGTGTAGGATTGAACTTATTCATGGAAGAAAATTTTGCTTTCTTCAGCAAATATCATGTGTTTTGATTTTATATGGTGTCAGATATTGACACTCTTGATAGCATTTTGTGTTGTTTAGTTTTCATTTTATCTTTTAGTTTGCAGGATGGGAGTGATTCTGGAGATAAGAAACTAGACAATGCGGATATGGCTGCTTTTGTAAGTTACTTTTCAAGTTCATATATTGCAGATAGACTTATGATTGTTTGCTTCTCTTCATGGTTATTTAGAGCACACAAATTATGGTGTATTCCGAACATTGCACTCAAATAGAATGTGTTGCTTCATGGGGATTTCATTATGTTATGTTTCATAAGTTTTTCAACGTTACGGTTCTATGGTTTAATTTATTGTCATCCAGATTATACTGAAATATCATTTTTCAGGTCCAGAATCTACTTGAACAGATGGTGAGGTATTTTTTGAACTGGTTTGAGATTATATATGGAATTAATGAACTTTAAGCAGATGTGGCTAAGTTGGCTCTGTTATTACATATTACAGCAATCAAGGTTCCAAACAATGTCCGACTCCATCATTACCAAGAATATCCTTTTTCTTACACTTCAACCTGTTATTCAAAAAAAAATTTTGCTTCAACCTGAGGGGATGAGTTTCTTCATCAAAAAGAATGGTGGTCGCTTGGAGGAATTTGTTAAGGATTTCGCTTTGCAACAAGCAAAATGGAAACCTGTTTATGTTGGGGAAAGTAGCCATGGGTAGTTGCCAAATTTCATTTCATTCCATTTCAGTTACCCTTGTTCTTTAGGTGCTTCTAAAGCCAAAATGAAGCAATAAATCTTAATGGGGTGCATATATTCATGCTCTAAATTGCAAGCATTTCTTGATTTCCTTGATTTTAACGCACTTGATGAGATGGGCAGCAAGATAGATGATCTAGAGCATAGCATCAATGATTTCTGAACAGAGATGGATGCAGATAAGTCTCCTTCTGGGCCAAAGGAGGATTCCAAGTCTCCCAAAGATCCCTAGTGGTGTAAATCCGACTTTGCAGCACGGTATTTCTAGACCCTGTGTTTCTTTCGGTCACTATCTTTCTCACATGGCAAATCAGTTACAAACATACACATATACGTTATATTTCTGCCTAAAGTCTCCTCTAATTTCTATTTCAATATAAAATCGCTAAGCCTATCTAAACATTCTTAACATTGGTTTTAAGTCTATGGTTGTACTTGTTTTCAATGTATATTTTAAGATTGTGATGAGCTGTTTTATTAACAAATACCTGAAAAGTGGAATTGGTTTATATATAGAAAATACTAGTTTGGTGGATGAGTTCATGCTTGAGGAATCTCATTATGTTTCAGGTCATCCACTAAGTAATTAGATTAATAAAGTATCCAATTTTTGTTATAATATCTAAGCATAAAAAAGAGAAAAATAGTGCAAAGGTCTTGATGTTAACTTCTGTAGATAGTTATTTGTTTTTCTCATAGACATCTGAGATGTTAAACTTATTTAGACAAGTGTTAAATACGAGTATATGTTATCAACAAGTTAGTTGAGTGGGATGAGATACTAGGTCGATCTATATAGATCGGATACCGATAGTTAAACCTAAAAATAGGAGAGTATATATTTAATAGGGATATATTTCATGTTTTAAAGATTAGTTTGGAGTTTGAGGTGTGAATCTAATGTATAGCAAAATACAGGTGTGAGATGCCAATTACAGTTGGATTGCATTTGTGTATCTTCTTTCGGTCGGCCTATCACTTGGGAAAAAGAATTAGATTCCATTTAAAAGCGTCGCTTTGCATTTCGCACATGAACCGCCCTCATCACAAGCCGCAATTGCTGGGTCAGTATGGAGTATTATACACCCAATTCCATATTCCTTTTATTCCTAATTTTCTACTTAATTAAAAAACGACTAATCATAAGCTTAATAACTTCAATCTGAAACATCAACACTCTTGCAGCGACCCGTTTCTTCTATTGTCACATCTTTTTTTTTCTATTGAAATATATTAACTCGTTAAATATATCATAAAATTTTATAAAATTAAATATGTATGTCCATATAAACCGAATCCTACCCTTTCAAATATGATAGCTAAATATTCATGAGAAAAAAAAGAAAATTTTGGTGCCACAAAAATAGGCTAAAATTCAAAAGCAATATAAATATACAATATAATTAAAGAGAGTATATTTAATTACATTATTATATTAGCAACATAAATATAATCCCTATTACATTCATCCTATTATCTTTATTGTTTCACTCGAAAAGATATACCTATGGTTGATATATATATATATATAAAGAATCCAACAATCCATCAGCAATACAAAATTATTTATAGATCAATTGTAGGAAGAAATAGAAGAAAATATTACATCTTTAAAATTAGACAGGCAACAAATTTATTTATTTTAGTAAAAAAGGACATAAAATTAAATAAATAAATCTAACGCCGACAACGCGTAATTCTACTACACCCGCGTGAGTAAGGATTCGCCTGAGCTCCGGGCCGGCAGTTATAATACGACGCTCCACGTCGTGAGCATGGAACCGTGTTCCTCCTTAGCGCACCGTAGCTAATGTAACGGGTCCTAGCTAAAATGCGCCTGCTGATCTCGGATCCCATGGCAAACTCGGCGTCGAAGTCCGATGATTCCTCGCTGCCCACCATCAGGCACTCCGCGATGGATCCGCTGCACTCTGATTTGATCGGTAGGAAATTGTCGCCGCCGAAATAGAGGGTGGGAGACGAAGCTGAATGCGCCGCGTGGACGGAAAGGATTGCACAAATCGCGAGGAAACAGAAGGGCAACCTAGAGCTTCCCATTTTCGGCTTCTGTTGGGGCAGGGAGTGGAAAGCGGGGACGGTTTAGGATTATTAGTGATTGTCGTTAGGAGAAAGCCATTGGGGTTTGGATTTATTTGCGATTTTGCCACTTTGCTTTAACATGAGGGGGTTTACTTGTAATTTAAGTGTGCCAATCACTTTGTGGACATCCACTAACTGTCTGTGTTTCGACCTTTTACATTTTTACATTTGTCAAAGAAAATAATAATGCCAACAAAAATATTGAAAGCCTTGATATGATCTTTAGTTCATGATATTTATTTGAATTATTTTGGAATGACTCTCAAATTCATCCGATAAGTTTATAGTAAATTTTATCATTATATTTTAATTTTATTGTGTTTTACAAAAAAAAAAAAAATATTTAAATTTATTGATTGAACTCAATATTTAAAAAGAAATATTATTTTTCTTAAAGATTAAAAGTTCAAACAATTATGTTTACAGAATGTGTGTATTGTCAATGATTACAAAAGATTTTAAACATATATTATTTTATAATCATACCACATTATTAAATGAATGTAAACGAACAACACAAACACAAAAAACAAACTTATTCAAACACAACAAATGAATGTAAAAAAAAGTGAACAACAAGAATAACAACTTAAAATTCATTAATATAACCAGCAACTTTAAAGTTAATTTGTTCGAATACAACGAAAACATACATAAATCATGAATAAGCTATATGAACATAATAAAGTCTTAAAGTTAATTTGTTCAACAAAACAATCTTCTTGAAATCCAAACAACTTCAATAATCTTCGTAACATATTCAACTTGCCTTCTGTTCGAACATAAATGAAAGAACATAAATGAACATAAATAGACATAAATAAACGAAAATATAATCGAACGTAAATGAATGAACGATCCCTTTGTTCATGTTCATTCATTTAATTAATCGAACACAAAATCTTGTTCATGTTCGTTCATTTAATAAATAAACGAACATAAACAAACTTCCCGCCGCACGGTTCATGAACGGTTCGCTGAACGTTCAGTTCATTTACATGACTATACTTTTTCTTTACACTAAAGAAAGATTGCATTGTTAACTCCAATTCAATCATAAAAAAAGGGGTACAATGAAAACATTAAAGGTTTACATAAATTAATTATATGTGATAATTAAGTAATTTTTTTTAGTGAAATATTATTTTGATGAAATTTTTATTTAAAAAAATTGTGACCAAATAAAATTTTATATAATAATTCAGTTGATGTCTTTTAAGTTTTGAAGGGTTATTTATTCCTGATTTTTATTGAATAATTCAAGTGACATGATATTTCAGTTGTGAATTTATTTGATTATTATCTAATTTTGCATGAATTAATTTATTAAATAAATCAAAAGTAAAATATATAATTTAAAATTTAATTTTTTTTTTATAAATCTAGAGTAAATATAAGATAATCTATGTTGAAAGATTTATATATAATAGTTCAGTTGATGTGTTTCAAGTTTTGAAGACTTATTTGTTCATAATTTTTATAGAATGATTCAAATGAGATAATATTTCACATGTAAATTTACTTGATTATTATCTAATTTGGCATAAATAAATTTATTAAATAAATCAAAATCAAAATATATATAATTATAAATTTAATATTTTTTTACAAATTTAGGGTAAATACAAGATAATATTTGTTCAAATATTCTTAATCATTCGCCAATTAACGCTCATACTCCTTACATTTGCATTTACAGTGCTCAACCCTGAGACCTTGAGATATAACAATAAATGTTTTAACCATTAAAATCATTTCGCTCATGAATCATATTGTAATGTCAAATTATAAGTGAAAAGTAGGGTAAATATAAGATATTAGATGTTCGAATACTCTTACTCATTTGACAATGAACACTTATACTCCAGACATTTGCATTACTCAAACTCAAAACCTCGAAAGATAACAATAAATATCTAAACCATTAATGTTAAATCGTATTTTGTGGGTCATAAGTTATAAATTTAATGTTAAATCGTATTGTAATGCCAAATTTGTTACATGGGTCATAAGTTTTACATACGAGTGAGATATCTCGTTTATATTCTTTTTTTTAAACATCTTTTACCTTATATATACATAATATGATCTTTTTAAAGAAATCGAAATTAGTGGGACGACACATGATTTATTGATGAGTTGTAGGCTTTCTAGGAGCTTCATTCAATTTTAGGGTGCGTTTGGTTCACGGAATGTAAGATTATCAATGGAATAAAATATTACCAAGGAATAAGATTACTGAGAATATTGTATTTTGTGTTTGGTTGGTTTAGCAGGAATGTAAAATTATCGTGTTTGGTTAAAAGAATAAAAGATTATTGAAATGTATATTTGATCAAATTGTCCTTATTATATATTTATTTTTTAACAAATTGAATTCTACTATAATATTACTATAATTAATTTATATATTTTCTTTAAAAAAATTAATTCATGAAATTTATATAATTTTTTTTATAAAATTGAAAAGATAAATAAGTTTAATGAAATGCTAAAATTTTATTTTAACCCCTGAACTTCATATAAAATTTTAATTATAGACTTTTTTTTGTAAATCTAAAATAGTTTAAGGATAAATTTATAATTTAACCTTTTGTAGAATTTTTATTATTCAACGACAGAAGAAGGATATTTTTGAAGAAATTTTTTTAAGGGCATTTTAGTCCAAAACGCCGGTAATCCAACAATACCTAAGGGAAGGGATGTAATGACATTCCCGGTAATATACCTCAAAAAATTCACTATTGGTAATAAAAGATTACCGGGAATGAGATTACCAACCAACCAAACGGGAGAATGAAGATTTCATTCCCCGATAATATAACATTCCTTGAACTAAACGGGGCCTCGTAGTGACAAATGATAGATGGTTTACACTTAGCAAAACTAAAATTACCAATCACGAACATGAATAAATATCAATAATTAGGTTTGATATAAAGATTTTAAACTTTCATACCGGATCATGAAAAAAAAACCCTAGTTTTCTTTCGTTGGTGTACCGTTTATCTCTTTTCATTTTCGTCTTTTTTTTAATCTACAACGGCACCAACTTTATTGTTGGTTGCTGACCGTCGGTATTCTTTATTTTCTTTTTCTTTTCTATATCATATTATATATTTATTTTTTTTCTTTTTTTATTTTCAATAAGTTTACTTGTGTTACACAATTTCACCTGCTTTTATGTCACGTTTTCATATGTTTTTTAATATGTTTTCAGTTATTTGGCTATTTTTTCATTTATTTTTTTTAAGGGTTGATTTGACATCGTCACAACTGATCAATGTGACACTTATTTAATATCTTGTTGATATTTTCTGCTTTGGACCATCAAATTGGATTTTAGTTTTATTCTTCTTTAAAATGTGAATAATTGAATTTAGATGAATTCATCAAGTGATTATGGTAGTAAAAAAAAAGTAGGTTATTCTTAAAAGTTTTGAGTTTAAACAATTATATCTATAAAGTGTTCTCACCACGAAAGCAGCTGTATCTAGCTTTTTGATATGTAGTTCGTGATAGGGGGAAAAAGCCTTCCCCCACCTTGTTGTTGATGATTGTAGTCTTTATGGAGGGTCATATTTGACCGTTATCAAGGATGACCGATTGAATTTTACGGGATTTTGGCCGATCGATTTTTACGGGATTGAAGGGGTGTTCGGTGAGGCCGAGCCGAGATACCTGGGGGGAGGTTTAACCGACGGATGGTTAGGCATAGGGTGAGCGGCGACTGGATTTGGATCGATGGGGGTTGCTGGGGTTTTGTTGGATTTGAGCCTTAGTTGAGGTGGCTAATTGGGGTCTAATTAAGGGATAAATGGGTTTGGGTGGCCCAGAAAAAATTTGAAACTTGCACCTGAACGATTATTATTAGAAATTAAAGTCGGTTTCAGGTTTAGCCCCAATAAAAATGTTGTAGTATCCCTTCCATATTTGTTCTCCATTTCCATTTTTATCAAATAAAGCATTACCCTACTTTGATAATCTTTTTCAATGGTGCATTTGGAACCAACAATGAGATTAAAAACAATCCCTTCTTCCGGCAAAATCGAGTACTCTATTCTACTCGAGTAGAACCATTGCATTTTTTCCTTTACTCCGAAACGGAGAAGAAATAGCCTGAGAAATTCCATTAGATAAAAAGTGCCAGAGTAATTTGAATCATATACTATACTCATACATTATCAATCCAATGATGAAATACAAGTAAATGATCAAACATGTCATCAATAATTCTTCCTCGGATTTTATGATACACGCACACACCTTAGATGCCTCGAGCTCGATTCGTTGGTTCCTCGGTCGTGATCTTTTCAACGAGGGAGTACCGGTGGGGTGATCATGCGGGTATTGTATGATTTACAATGACTGCATTTCTGCCCTATTATGTGGAAGAGAACTTCCGTAGTGTCGTTGCAATCGTTGCATAGGATCCAAACCTGCATTTGATTGTTAAATCAGTTGCAATAAACCTGATCTGAATATATAGGCAACAGGTTGTTCGACGTGAACAAGAACCGCGGTATGCACCTTCTTGTACCTGTAGTCCTGCATTACAGTTGCTTCGATCAGACAACAAACAAGATAATTTTCTTGTGAATCAAGCTTGGACAAAACCCAAATCAATCAACTAAATCAGAACTTAAAATTGAAGATGCACTACCTCTTCGTCTATCCTCTTCCAGGTTCTAGACATATCCATTACTGACTTTGAGCATATCGGACAACAATATCTGAGCAAACAACATGAGAAATTAAGTTTGGAATAACAAGAACAATTAAGCTTATACAAGAAAGAACTCGTAGTCACTCACCTGTCGCGCTTTATCATCTCATAGTAACATTCGCAGTGCATCGTGTGACCACATTTCATCACAGTGGTATCTTTCAATGAATCGAATAGGTACTGTGGAAACAAAAGGATGGACTATCAGCAATACGCAAATACATATAAATACAATTGCAGAAGGTAGAAAAGATTAACCTCGTAACATATGGGGCAGTGATGCCGCATCGAGTTCTCCACACAGAAATGATTACCTTGCAAAGCAATGGAATAGCAAGACCCTGCACAGTAGTTAAAGTACGTACTGTTATGCTGTACAAATAGATGCAGCATAGAACTAAACAGATTCTGTAAGTATAGGCGGGGAAGGGCGGGGGCGGGGGGCACCCCTGAAAATTTAAAATGACCATATATTTTAGATATTTTTCTATGTATTTTCTATTGAAATTATGTTTTTGCCCTCTGAAATTTTATAGGTTCAAGTTCGCCCCGTGAAATAAAACACTGCGTCCGTCCCTGACTATAGGGATGAAATTTGAATGTTTAAATGACTTCTCCTAACTCGATTGATGTTTTCGGCAATTTGCATCAAAACAGCATAGTTTTAAATCACAGTAGAAGAATCTAAACATGAAATGGAGCCCATAAGCATAGCATATCAAATACAAGAACGGTGAAAGCACAAAACAGGGAAACTGGGAATGGTTCGATAACAACCCATATCGGGAAATGAGAAACACGGATTATTGAATATGAATAAATTTAAATTGGGCAATCAGTTATCATACAATTATAAAGTAAGAAATGAAATCGAATCTAAGAACTTGGAACGAAGGTTGATAAGGTAAGAAAACAGATCAAGTACATACCACATTTTTTGCAATGAAAAAAGTTAGCCTGACCGCCAACTCTGTATCAAAAACCATTCGATTGAGTCTCCCATGCCTTGAGTCCGAGTAACCAAGAGGAAAATAACAGTCATACATGCTTAAAATTTGTCAACTAACCTGCAGATCCCACACTCATGGCAATGAAAGTGCTCTTTCTCGGTCTGCATCGGATGAAAACGAGAGGTAATCTTCAAAGGAAAGCAAGAAAAGGCATAGAAGAAAGAATTCAAGGATCAAAAACCTATTGATTCCTTGTATCTTAAGCTAAACCGAGGAATCAACAGCGGAAATGAAGCAAGTTTATAAACCATTTCATTGATAAAATATTGGGAAAACTATATACTTACATCATCATCAAAGAACTTGCAAATATCACAAAAATATTCTCCCATATTGACGCCACAATTTGAACAAAGTTGAGCAACCTAGACAAACATGAAAAAGCAACACCAAAACTAAGAGCATAAGAAAAAACATCAATAATATTTTTTTTTATTTAAAAAACTGTTCATTTTTGCCTTAAAAGATGCAAATCTGAAACACAAACCTGCTGCTCTGTGTCACAAACCGAACAAATAACCTAAAAAGAAACAAATTAGGGTGGAAAGGCGACACCATTAACATGATTAACTTAAAACATAAAAATTACGTACTTGTTTAACGTCTTGACGAATGATCTCGTGCCTGTCTGAAGGGTACTTTAACGTGCTCTGAATAAAACCAACAAGTGAATCCAATACAATAAATACCCAGATCAAGAGTTGCATGAACAGTCACAAAACCGGAAAGTTTTATCTTAAAACAGAGGGGGGAAAACAGGGGAATGCAAAAGAAATGTTCAAAAACAAATACCGATGCCTCGTTATGGCAATGACGACACCAGAAAACCTCGTTGCAACATGAAGCTCGAATCTTGCATCTCCTCCTATAATGTTGGCATCTAAATAAACCCAAAAGAAAAAAAAAACAAACGAATGAATCGTAGAGGGAAAAGACGCCAAAAATGACAAGGAAATGAAAAAACAAGAGATACCCATATCCCATCTTCCCAAAATGAAGGCGTTCATTGGTCGAAGAGGATCCCGTCTCCATGAGTATTGGAAAACAAAATTTCCGGATGAAACCCAGAAAGGGGAGGGGGTTCGTTGATTTGGGAAGACGGGATTTAATTGAATTGAATTGTCGTAGAGATTTAATTGAATTGAATTGTCGTGATTCTTTAAATGGAGATCAGAGGGAAGATAAAGGAACCGGAACCCGCCGCCTTCAAAGGCCACTCGTTTTATAAAATATTTTAGTATTTGCGTGACAAGACGCTATCTTACATTAAAGGCAATGTGTCCATTTATAGTTTATAAATAGAAATAAATGAGATTCTGGTGGGAGGGGAGGGGATAAGGTGGGGTGGGGTGGGGTGGAGTGGCAGTGATGACTTTCGGTGGGGCATTTTATCAAACATGTGCAAGACGCATTATTTCTCATTTAGCCTCACCTCTGACTGTAACTTGAGCCTGAATCTAAAAACTTGTTCTTCCATAATAATTCACTTTACATGTTCAGTTATGGTATTCGTTTATATTTTATTGAAGTACACTCTCTATTTTAATGCAAATTAATTTGATCATTTAATGTTATTTTCCATTTTAAAAAACTAAATCTAAATTATGAGATTGAATTATTTAAAAATATAAATAAATAAATAAATTTATTATTATTTTTTTACAAAATTCATTTCAAAGTACTTCATTTTAAAAGACTAAATCAACTTATAAAATTTTGAAAATGATTTAATAGTTTGGATCAATACTAAGATGATCAATATGGCAGGGAGAGGTCTTAAACAATATTAATCTAGAGACGATCTCTGAAAATTTTAATTTGCCACATATTTTAAATTTTGTATACATTTTTTTCATCTTCTTAAACCTTTCATTTCGTTGAAGATTGAATTATATTAAATTAAGCTATAAAATTTTAAATTTGAAAATGATTTAGAATCAATTCTTTAGAATTTAAATTATTAATGGGTAAAGTATACAAATAGTCCATATATTATAGGGTATTGTTTTATTAAGTCCATCGATAATTAAAAGTTTCAAAATGGTTATTTGATTATGGAGTGTTATTTTGTTGAGTCACTCAACTATTAAAAGTTACAAAATGATTATCTGACTATCATATATTGAAAATTTGTCATTTTCGTTAAAAAAATTGGCGATCGTATGGGTTAGATGTTAACATTATGATTGAGATATGATAGTCATTTGAGATTATAAGACTATATTTTATCATATCATAATCAGCAATTTAACGTTCAACTCAAATTATTTTCATTTTTAATGGAAAAGATGTGTTTTGAATATATTAATAGTTGATCGACAATTTTGTATTTTTTACTAGTTGAGATAATCAATAAAACATTGTATTATAGTCGAGATATCATTTTATAACTTTTAATAGTATGCGACTCAACAAAGTATCACCTTGTACTTAAGGATCATTTTATAACTTTTAATAGTCTGATGACTTAATAAAACATTACCTTATAATTGGAGATCATTTGTGTAGGTGGGGTAGTGTGCCTGTACCCAATAATTAAAGGCAAATGTGTTCGTTTAGAAAAGATAAAGTGGACAAAGGCTTTGGATAGCTTGTTTTGTTTTCCAAGTTGATCTGTTTTTTACTTTGAAAAACTTCATGTATTACGCTACTTAGATTTGGCTTGCACACATTAGATTTCGAATAATTGTTTTTTCTAAATTTCGATTGATTTAATTTGGAATGGTATATATTAATAAAATATTATTTGTGTTTAAGTTTAATTAAAATTAATATAATAGAATATAAGAGAGAAAAAAAATAAAGAATGGTGATGTCAGTAGATCGGATCTGGAGTTATGAAACTATTCATTTACTTTGTTCTCAACTTTATAATTTTTTTAAATTAAATTAAAATAAGACTATTTAGGGGGGAAAAAGGGGTAAGGTGTAGAGTTAGGTGCATAGGATTAGGAAGCCGGGGAAGGTGAATTGGATCTTGGAATCAGTTTTGATATATGCATGTCCAAGCCTCAACTTGCACGTCTCTTTATATTCTTTTTGGTCTTAATATGAAAATAAGTGCTCAATTACATCTTAAACTAATTTTAGAATTTTAAAAAAAATCAAAATATATCTTTAATATTTGTAATATTATACTTTTAGGTATTTGATCTGTTACTGTTGTTATCAAACACATATCAAGGTTATAAAAATTTAAATTTTTATTTTAAAATAAAAATTATAATTTATTTATAATAAACTCAAATTTTTTTAATTCTAAAGAATCTAAAACTCTAAAAAATCTTTCCAAGCAACTTTACCCAGCCACGTCAGGGCGGAGCTAGAAAAATTATTTTACGGTATCAAATTTAGAAGTTATATAAAGAAATTTTCTAAGTGGAGGAAAATGGTTAACGGAAGTCAATTTATGTTTAAGGGAACCAATATTATTTTAAAAATATGTCCGGCATGGAGAGGTGGCTGCAACGGCGATGATTTTGGGGAATGAGTGTCGGCGAGATAGGGATTTGGAAGAAGTATTTGGAATCTTACATTGGATCAAATTGATATAATTTTTGAATATTAAGAATCTATTGAAATATTATGAATTAAAATGATAAAATTTATTTAAAATTTTGGGACTAAAACTATTATTATATCAATTCACATAGTTATTTCCGTTAAGTCAATAATCACATTTAATGATAATTGACTAAAATAGAAACAAAAAGTGATTTTAGATTTTATTTTGAAACAATAGTTTAATGATCAAAATATAAATAAGTAAATTATCTTAAATATTATCGTAACTCATAAATTTTGTCCTTTTATGATTCAAAAAATTAAATTATACCTATGGTCATTTAATTTTTATTTTTTTTATTTTGACCAATGATTTTTTAATTTTATCAGTCAGATCATTTAATTATTTTTAAGGTTTTCGTCAAATCGTTTAGTAAGATTTGAAGGAGTAATTGATGTGATAATTAAAAATATTAATATATTTACACATTTGGTCATATTGACATTTTTTTATATATTCTATTGTAATGAATGCTGAAAAACAAGGAATCAAACCTACTCAAAGCATGTTCGATCCTCTTCTAAGTTTTGGGTTTGAGTCCCTATTTTGCTAATTTTGTTTTCCTGCCATTTATTTAAATAACTGGGTACATTTTGGATTCAAGACTGTGAATTAAAGCTTAATTTCTTGGAAAACCCTCTTTTCATGTTTGTAACAATTTCAATCACCGTAAGAAAAAAAAAGAGCACTGAATTAAATTTAACATGATATCTAATACTATACCGAAATCGATTAAAATTAAAAGTAAGTGAAACATAAGCAAAACCTCAAAAAAAATTATTCATACCTTAGTTTTAGGGATGGATTGAGGAAGAGCGGGTGGGGAAAGTCTTCCCCTTTAAAATTTTCAATTATTATATATTTTAGATATTTTCTATCAAGTAATGTTTTCACCCACATAAAATTAAGTGATACTTCAATTATTCCTTCAAATATTAATGACAAGTGACCTGACAACGTTTAAATAATTGGATGATATGGTATAATTTACCCTAAAATCATGAAAATAAGTAGAAAATATCAAAAGAATGTTAAATTAAAAATCTAGAAAGATACGAAACACCATGCCGCTCAAATGACGAGAATACCAAATAGAAGTCTTAATTTTTTTTTTATTTGGTAACAAGAAGAACTTAAACTAAGTTAACGTGCATCAATTATCTAATCTTAATTTATATTCATCAAAAAAACATGCTACTAGCAGTCGGAGGCATTGATCATGTCCTTCCTTCAAATTCGTTTTTGTCGACCAGTTTGCCCATGGAGTCGGCCAATCTGTTTGATTTGCGGTTTACTAGAGCATAGTTGTTACTGTCCATGGCCTTCCCATTAGTTCTTGTATGTGTTGCAGTATGGTCGGTGTTGTCCCTTTTTATTGTTCCTCTGTATCAGTCGAAGTGTGTCGCCACTGTCTACTTCCAGGATGATCCTTCTTCCTGCTGTGTTCCATGCATGATTCAGACCTACAAACATTCCCTAGAGCTCCGCTTCTACTGTGGTGCATATCCCAATTGCTTTAGAGAATCCTAGTATCCATTCTCCACCGTTATCTCTGAGAACTTCTCCACACGAAGCATATCCATCCGTTCAGTTTCTAGAGTTTAACTTTTTCTTATTATGATAAGATGATTACAAAGTGGTATATGTTCTAAATACTTTTAACATTTGACAATAAACGTTCAATCACCCTGCTGCAGCCGCTGGTGGTCGAACCCGTGACCTCTAAGAACAATAACGATTTTTTTAATCACTAAGGTAGGTTGAACGTTTAACTGTTTTAATATAATAATAAGTAAATTATTTTGAATTAAATATTTTAAAATTTTATCATAAAGACAATTTTTGTAATCAAATTTTCTGCATACACAAAAAATCAAACTCGAGTCTTACTTAAGCGATATCAAACGACTTATCACCCGTTGATTTAATTTATCTATTAATTTAACTAGTTATTGATTATGTATTTAATTTATCTATTAAACCTAAGTTACGCCGGACTCTTTATACAATGAACTTATAAAACAAATAAAAGTAAACTATATGATTGATCATTTTTGTTTAAATTTTATAATATTTTTTTATTGAATTAAAAATAATAATATTTAATCATTTTCGATTTTATTTAATTAAGATGTAGTCATAAGGGTTAACAATCGTTAGACCTTTAACAGACATGACACATTGAACATAAAAAAAATAAAAAAGAATATATTATACAAATGATTATTAATATTTGAGTAACTATACAAGTTCTGACCAGGAAACAAGCTTCTATCCTCGAGGAGAATTCAATGCGTTCGATCTCGGCGTAAAAACGATAAGGAAGAAAAATGATATGGATTTTCAAGCAGCACGAATCATTTCCGATGACCATCAGCTGAGAAAACGAAGCCTTGGACGATATGTAGGTTCTCGTGGAAACCCATCAATATGCTGTGGGAGCTGTGAAATACCTTTATTGTTTAGCTAAATACTGCAATATTCAGAAAGTAAGAGTCAGATTTGTGTTTTTACTTGAACATGTTGCACATCAAATGTATGAAGAGTTCCTATTTGGAACTGCAACAAGAAATTGTTGCAGCAAGAGCTGTATGTCAAACTGTAAAGCGGATCTATAACGATGAAACAAAACCAAATATTGTTGAAAATTGG